TGCCTCTCTCTCCCTCTATCCCTTCTTTCCTCTCTTCCTCCCTCCCTGCATCCCTCCCTCCATCACCCCCTCCCTCCCTCCCTCTCTCTGATGTAGCTCTTCAATGACCTCAATGCTGCAGGTGGAGCTACTTAGCTTAGACATAAGGATGCACTTCCCAGGAACAGTCTTGGCATGGGTCAGGAGGTTCATTCTCTGACTCAGGGTACACTTTGAACGTGGCCCACCCAGATGGCTGAACTAGAGAGATTCATAAGAATCCCTTCCCGATCTCCCTGCTTCATGAGTTCCCTGTGACTCACTCCTGTTTTGCAACCCCAACAATTACGGAAAGAAAGAGATGAGAGTTAGCGTATCTGTGTATCAGTTTCATTCAGCATCTGCATCAGTGTTAACCTCAGAGTGATATATTTTTAGCTCTGTACTTAGGAATCCTGAAAAGAAAGCTCTTTCTTGGCATTCGAGGCCTTCACTCCCATTACCAGCTGTCCCCTCCACTCTCATCCGGAGGTACCAAAAGTCTCCTGCATCAGCAGGACAGAAGTACCGATGGACTCCTCCTTAGCTCAGCTTAGCCTCCTGTTGCCCTCTTTACAGAAGTCCGCAGGCCACCAGCCTGGGCAGGCCTGGCCAATAGAGCCCTCCTCCCTTCTATAGAGAGCACTGAGCATTGAGAGATAGTCACGTCCACATTGTCACTAAAGACATCATGCATGTCCTTGGCCCATCATTGCCACCCACCCTCCCAGTGTGCTTATCAAGGTCACAGCCTTGCCCAGAGGAAACTTTGAGAGAGGCGTCTGGAGTCAGGACCCTAGTGCAGGTTGCTTGAAGCAAAGTCACAGACCCTGACTCCCTGAAAATGGCTGATTGTGCGACGCTGGTTAGTTCCTAGAAAGATTCTAGAGTACCCGCCAGCCCCAGGTTTCAGGTTCAAGTGGAACCACAAGGTCAGGGCAGAGGGAGCACTCTCAAAAGTCCTCCGTGAACTACTCCTCCCAGATTCTGAGCCCCTCTCACCCACCCATAATGAGACCTCTCGGCCTGAGCCCTCAGAATGGCTCTTCTTTAACGCCACACTTGTTGGGGGCTAGCATGCTATAGTCTCAGGTTTTATCTCTGGTCCTTTTCCTCGGTGCTGGGACTGACCTCAACTGTCTCTGTGCCTAACACTCCCACTGTCTTCCTCTGCAGAATATGACCTGGAGCCCTGTGAAGAGCCTGAGGTTCCAGCCTACAGCATCCGAAAGGGCTTGCAGTTTGGTGTGGGTGACACCCTGACCTTTTCCTGCTTCCCCGGGTACCGTCTGGAGGGCACGGCCCGCATCACGTGCCTGGGGGGCAGACGGCGCCTGTGGAGCTCGCCTCTGCCAAGGTGTGTTGGTAGGTGGTCACGTGCTTTCCTTCTGCTTCCCTTATTGGGCGGGCCAAACTTAGAGCGAGGCAGAGGGATGCACCCAACCGGGAGGCTCATAGGCCTGGGTTGAGGATCGATACAGTTACACTTAACTGCAGAGAGATCTTGGACTCATAGCCTAACTGCCTCTGTAAGATGCAGAGGAATTTGCTCTACCGCCTGACCTGGCCTTTGCCAAGCAGTTCCAGTAGGCTCTGGGGTGCAGCTGACCTCAGTACACTCACCTCCAGCCATTAGTACAGACCTTGGCTTTCAGATGCCTCTTGCAAAGCAATAAGGTAGGGGCCTAGTGGAGGATATAGATATATCCTTTACTCAAAAGAGGTCCAAGTTGAGCTGGGTAGGGGTATCTGCTCTAGGAAGACCTTCCACCTAGGGAGGAGGAGGGGCAGGAGCTGGGATCAGTTATGATGTGCCTAGTATACCCAAGTCTAGCTTCTAGCTCCTGGAGATACAAAAAGTGAACACCACAGAGAGAGACTCCCACCCCGTAACACCACGCTCAGTAGAGAAGCCACCAGGAACACAAACGTGTACACTGTGCAAAGCAGTGCCGAGGCGCTCGATGGAAAAGTCAGCAGAGAAAATGCCTTTGGGAGGCTACTGCTTTGTGATGTTGGGCTGGAGGGATTCCTCTAGTGAAGGGCACTTTAGCAGAGATGGAGAGGAGCTGGACATGAGGAGGTGAAGTGGGGCAGACCTCAGCCATGAGGCTTCTTGGTGTTTGAGGAACATCCAAGAAGTCAGCCTTGCAGTTAGTCAGTTGGGTACAGGTGGCAGAGGAGCTGGGGATAGAGGGAGTGGGTGAGCCGTTGGCACCAGACTGGCCTACATCGTTGCTAGAGTCCAAAAGAGGGATGATCAGTGCTCTTGGCCCAAAGGAGTGGAAAGTAGGGTGACACCCTAGGAGGTCATTGCTACTGTGGATGGAGGTTCTGTTTGCTCAGTGCCCTCAGTGCTGGACCCAATAGAACACAGGATGAGTTAGTGAAGTGCTCACCATGCTCTCAGGTAGCCATGGAGCTCTTAGAACACACAAGGAACAGATCAGAGTAGTATGCATCCATTGAAACAGAGCCCAGCATGGCTGAAGCCCATGGCGTGCTAGGGTTGTAGCTCAGCAGTAGAGAGGTTCCCCAGTTCAATCATGAAGTGGAGAGGAAGAGAGAGACAGAGATGGAGGCAGAGGCAGAGGCAGAGGCAGAGGCAGAGGCAGAGGCAGAGGCAGAGGCAGAGACAGAGACAGAGGATGGAGAAGGAAGAAGAGAGGGAGGGAGAAGACGAGAGGGGGGAGGAGAGGCAAGAAGAAGAAAGAAGGAGGGTGGAGCCAGTCAAATGTTGTCTTGCAAACGTGAAGACTGGAGTTCAATCCCTAGCACCCACATAAGAAAGCCAAGCATGGTGGCACACACGTGTTACCCCAGCCCCAAGAAGGCAGAATCAAGTGGATCCCTGGCCACTTAGCTTAGTACTTTGTCAAGCTCAAGGTTTATTGGGCCCTGTGTCAAAAACAAACTGAGGCGAACAGTAGAGCTGACACTGGCCTCTGACTCCCACACATAGACACACGCAAGTGCACAAACGCGAACACAGGAAAGGGGGAAAGGTAAAAAGCAAGCACACCGTGAGGTCAGCCATGCCTTGGACAACGCCATGGGGCCCAGGGCTCTGCAGAGGACAAGGGCTCAGGCTGTTAGGCTGGGCCAGGCCCTACTGAGCAGGCGCACAAGTCAAGGTCAGGCCTCTGCTCTGCCAACTACCAAACCGTTAGCACCAACAGACCCTCCTACCCGGCTTCCTCATTGATAAAGTGAAGCTAACCACGTCTGATGTTCTGCATGATGTCATTCCCATAAGCCACAGGGAGCCACGTAATTGTCATTTTGCCAATAAGATCTTTATCATTTTATTTATGGACTAACGACATGTCATTAGCTTGTCGATAACCTTTTGCAAATTCAGAAGGGAAAGCATTCAGATGACAAAGCTGCTGCAGAACTCACCCTGGGGAAGGTCTGGTTCAGACCTGACCACCAGCAGCTGCCCTAGCATCTGGAACCCCCCCTCCGTGAGGGCCTTAGAGTTTGCCTCCCGGGGGGACTTTCCGGGCCCCCAGATGCTCAGCCAGCTAGAGCTCCTGCCTCTCCAGTCTCATTACACCGACTCATCTTTTAACTCATTATTCCAATTACTGTTTGTTCATGACACCACACAATATTTTCATTATTGCATTTGTCTTCTGTTTCACATGGTATTAATAACACGCGGCGGTTATAATCACCTCTAATTACAACCAGCCCTGCAGCAGAGACTCCTGCCAGAGTTATGGCAGGCCTGCCCACCCATGAGGATGCTTCTACTTGCCACCTTAACTGTGAGGTGTCACAGAAATGATTTAGCCTACTTTATGCCACCAGGAATGTTCCCAGCCACAGAGTGTACAGACAGCCCCAAGCCCTAAAGCATGGTGTGACAGGGTGATCTAGCCCCTGACCTCAGGGCCTCCTGCATTTGATGTGGGAGAGACAGGCTTGACCCTGAGAGGGGACCCCAGTCTGCAACAAGAGATGTGCTCCTGTCCTTGGAATCCCCAATGCGTTGGAAAAGACCTAACCCTCTGCCTCAGGAGCCTCAGACTGATGGATAAAATACAGCCCCTGCCCTTACTGAGACCTTGTCTGATAGGGGCAGCGGAAGTCACAGATGTCTGAATCAGCAGAGCGCATTCTTGGGCATGTGCCTGTTTGCTTCTCTGTTACACTGGTTTGTTTCTACTGATGCCCATGTTTGGCTTCCCGTGGTGGCATCTGTTCATCTCCCCTGCCTCTTTGGAAACTCTCCCAGAAGCAAGTGTCACATCCCTTCCTCCTTTTGTTCCTTCTCTTGTACCTAGAACCGAGGCTCTGGCAGGGAGTCAGGACTTTGTCGTTGGGCAGGGACTGGCCACCTATGAGATGAGCAGCCCTGCGTCCCATCTTACATGTGTGCTGGGTGTATGGGTGAGATGGGAGGGCCTTACTAGGCCAGAGATGGACAGAAAGCTGGAATGCAGGAAACAGGGGCTGGGACAGCAGTCTAAAGTTCTGCCAGAGGCCATGTTTGAGGAAGCTGGTTGTCATCAGCTGGGAAAGGAGCAAGGGGCTTGAAGCGCAGTCAGAGCATCATGAGCCTGAATAACTAGGACTTCCCCATAAGAACCCTGACAGTCCCAGAGCAGATGGGATGCCCAGCGGAGGCAGATATGCTGGAATCAAGAGGAAGAACTACGCTGAGTGAAGGCCTACCACGTGGACCACTCCCTCTATGCTCGCCTGCTTCAGACATCAAACCTTACACATTCATTCTCTAGTCTCAGGAGGATACTCTTACAGTCCAGATAGCACCCAGAGAGCTGCTATAACTTCTCTGCCTCCAAAGTCTGCCCACCTCATGGCGCCTCGTCCCCCTGCCTAGATGGAGGGGGGAGAGTGTGAAGTCCAGAGGCACTGGGCACTGCTTCAGATAGCCTGAGTCATTGTGTTAAACTGTGCACAGCTTTCAGCAGCCATCCCTCCCCCACAAGCCTCAACTGAGGGCACCCAGGAATTATGCAGTCTAGGAACATGCTTTCAGAGACTGTCAGCAGCTGCTATCCCAACATGTCCACCCACTTTGTCCCTTCAGTTTTATATCCCGCGTTGGCACGTTTATCCAATATTTGCTCATTGTGCTCACTGGATTTTTCAAGCACTGGAGGGACCACGTCTCCTTTGAGATAAACAAACAGGGTCCTATGCGAAGTCTTGGGAAACTAAATCGGAGAATAGAATAGGGGCCAGGGAACGGGGACCGTTGATAACTAGAAACTTCAGTGGTGCTTAGTGGGGGATTATGTCCGCCTTCAAAGAATTAAGAGTAGCTTTGAGGACAAGCATATGACAAAGCCTGTGGAGACTCAGTTCTGAAGGTCTCTATGTGCCCTGTGGGTGTCATCTAGCACACTCCCAGCTTAGGGTAACTAGAGCTGGCAAGTGGCCTTTTAGTGGACTTGAAGGTCCTTCCAGCCAAGAGTAAGGGCGCAGAGAAGCAGCAGGCGAAAGTGGACGTGCCACCAACCACCGGAGAGACATGCTCCAAACCTTCCATCTGTCCAGACAAGTAATGAGCCTGCCATCTGGACTCCTGTTTCCACCCTTCTGGAATCTGACTATTTTTAGCCCCATGCCTCTTCTGGGATCAGAGTATGGCCACATTCCTCCATTCATCCGTTTATTCAACAAATATTTATTTTACAGATGTGGGCCTTGGAAATGTGCGGCTTCTTCAAGCATGGTCCTGGTCCCCACATTGCACAGAGTTTGGATAGGAGATGAATGCAAATGACAGGCAAGCAGGGAACAATGTGGCAGGTGCCTCGACACAGGGAGTTACAGAGGGAGCCTCCCAGTCAGTAATTCTAGAGAGCCCACTGAAGGGTGGGCCCCCAGCTATGCCCTGCCACCAAGCCTGAGTCAGCCAGGCACTGTCCACATGTAGAAGAGGTGAAACTGTGACAGTCCCCCAACGAATCATAAGACAGGGGAGGAGATGGAAATACTAACAAAGCAAGGAGAATGCGATGCCCACTATAAACACAGGCCTGTGAGTAGTGGGAAAGACTGTTTCTGCAGGAGAGGAAACATGGTTTCCAGAGGCAAGATCGTTCTCTTGATTGGCGAAAGATGCAGAGGTTTGATAGGCCTGGGCAGAAACTTTCTCCGAGCCTTAGGCCCCCTAACACAGGCCCAAGGAGGTGGCATCACCAACCCTTCCTCTTGCTGGATTGACACTAGGTGCAAGCAGCTAAGTACAGGTTCTTATGTCTAAACTAGGGAAGAAGGTTTGTGCTTGCCTCAATGGTCTGGCATTTATGACTCTTGGCCTGTAAGGGTTAGTGATTATTATTCAATCTCATTACTTCCTAGTTCCTGTCTTTGAATTCTAAAAGTTCTCCTCTTTCTAGGTTTGTCTGTCTCCTTCCCTAGCATCCTTTTGTTGCTATGATACCAACAGATGTAAGGGACCAGTGCTTTATAAACTAACACAGTGAAAGAAGAAGGCATCCAGTGATGTGTTTTTTATTTCTACAGAGAAGGGACAAGCAAAGAATGAAAGATGGAGAAAACATGCAGAACTGTAGGCAGGCTAGTGCTGGTAAAAGTTTGGCAGGCTGTCCTGGAGAGTGTGGGCAGGCAGGCAGCCTCGGCGTCCCTGTGAGGTTATGCAGAGCTGCGAGTGGCTTTCCGTGTGAGTGGGTTAATCTGTGGATATTCTAATTGTCGTTCCAGCGGAGTGTGGGAACTCGGTCACGGGCACTCAGGGCACTTTGCTGTCCCCCAACTTTCCTGTGAACTACAATAACAACCACGAATGTATCTACTCCATCCAGACCCAGCCAGGGAAGGGGATTCAGCTTAAAGCCAAGGCATTTGAACTCGCTGAAGGAGACCTCCTTAAGGTAATGGCAATTGATTTCCTACGATGTGTAGGAAACCATGTACAAAGGGTGATTACTTCCCCATCTGTCCCTGTGTGGATGGCCCAAATTCTCCCACTTTCCCCTGAGTCCTGATGGGTATTGTCACCTGGGAGGAAGTGAAGACCAAAAGGGAGGGGTGTGTGATGTTAGCACCTGCTTAGGAACTGTCTGTCCTCACAGATGTATGAGTGGACTGATCAAATGATGGGGAGGTGTCTCAGTCAGTAAAGTGCCTGCTGTGTAAGCATAAGGAGTTTGGATCCACACCATGTGAAAGCCCACCATTGTGGGGCACAGCAGTATTCTGGCCAGCCAGCTTAGCCAATCAGTAAGTTCCAGGTTCAGTGAAAGACCTGCTTCTAAACAATAAGTGGAAAAGTTACAGTGGAAGACTTCTGCCACTGACCCCACTCCACACACTCAGTACACAAGCACATACCCACATGCACAGACACAGAAAACATGTACTTACACATACACTATGCCACACACATACGTGCATACACACACATAAAAGTGTATTTACAAATACATATACACACGCTTAATAAAAATAGTGATGAATTCAGTTGAAACAGTCAATGGATCAGATTTTTTATGGACTGTGACCTTAAATCTGAACAATTAAGAGCTGACAGAATATATGTGTGTTTATGGTATGTATGCATACATGTGCATACATGACATGTATACAGATGTTGCATATGTAGTCCATTATAAGAACACATATGTATGTGTTGTATACAGTGTGTGAATACATATGTGTATATATTGTATGGTATATCTGTAAGTACACATGTATACATGTTATGTGTAGTGTCTGTGTACTGTTTGTAGAGATGTTATGTGCCTGAGTACATATTTTGTGTATGGTATATGTGTGAGCACATGTGTGTATATTACATGTACACATGTTTGGAGTGTGTAGTGTATATTTGTGTGTAGATATGTGCATAGTACATGTGCATACATGTTTGGGGTGGATAGTGTATATGTGTGAGTGCATAACGTATGTGTGTGTGTGCACACACTTTCTTATGTACACATACACATGTCTGTGAATCTGTATCTGGCCTGGTACATCTGTTTCACTTGCATCTGTACCACACATCAGCATGTTTTGTGCACACGTACTTACATATGCTTTGAGCATGCAGTAGCATCACTGTGACAGTGGCCTCTGTGTGTCAATAGGCTGAAGGAAGTGAGCTCATTAGGGAAAGAAATGGCAAAGCTCAGATGATAGAGGGAGTTATTAAGAGCCTGAGAGACATCTGTCTTGGATTTCTTTGTGTGTGCTTAAGTGGCTGTCGCTGATAATGTGTGGGGCATTCGTGTGTGGGTAATAAACAGTTGAACTTGGAGAATGTACTAAAGAACTGCAGTAATAAAATGGATTATATGGAAAGCATCACCCAGATTTAGTCAGTTTCATCCTAAGCCAAGGAACTTTACTAGCTTATCCTAATACGATTTCATTCTCAGCAGCTGGAGAAATACCGACATGAGGAACATTCAGAATAGCCAAAGGCCATTACTCTGGGAAGTAGAAAGAGGAGCCATTAAATGACTGTCAATGACTGTCATGTTTATGGACAGTTGGTACATTGACCCATCCCCCCTGTTCTCTCTCTCTCTCTCTCTCTCTCTCTCTCTCTCTCTCTCTCTCTCTCTCTCACTTCCCCTTGCTCCCCACTCTCTCTGTCTCTGTCTCTGTCTCTCTCTCTCTCTCTCACACACACACACTCGCTCCCTCCTCTCTGACACACACACTCATTCACTGTGTTGTAAAGGTGGGAGTGTTTCTCACGCTTATCTCACTCCTCATGAAATAACTGAAGCACATATAAAATAACCTAGTGGACACTGAGGCATGCTGGTGGCTTTTGATTCTCAATACATCACACACACACACACACACACACACACACACACACACACACAGCCCTGAAATTACTGAACCCTATAGAGCAGTGGTTCTCTACCTGGGGATCACATATCAGATATGCTGCATATCAGATAATTTACATTACAATTTATAGCAAAAGTACAGTTATAATGTAGCCACAGAAATGATTTTATGGTTGGGGTCAGCACAACATAAGGAGCTGTATTAAAGTGTCAAAGCACTGGTACTGGTTGAGAAACACTGCTCTAGAGCAAGCTTCTGGAAACGGGAAGGCAAGGAGATTAGGATGACATTGTTTGTCCCTTTCCTGTCCTAGCTAGTTCTTCCTCCCACCTCCAGGACTCTTTAAACTGTTAGAAAGAACTCAGGACATCAATATATAACAAAACTGTTTTAGAGCTCAAAGAAACTGGCAGTCATAGCTTCCCAAGTGGGACTCAGAGCTGCCCTGCAATCACAGTCAGCAGAAGCACCATACCAGTCATCTGGTCAACCTCATCATGGGTATGCAAGGAGCCCAGAGCATGAGAGTTGCCCTTAAGAACCTCTGCCCCTTGCCTTGGTGCAATTGTGTCACCTTCCACACTGCTCATATGTTCCTTACCTGTGCCTCCAATGTCAACTGGTGCAGCCCTAAACAGACATGGAAATCTGTCACCTTCTCCACACTGTGTGTCTTTCAAGATAGTACCAATGTGTTTCATGCACTTGACTGATAACCCCAAACCTGAGGGGTTGTATTTCTGACCTGGTTTGTTCTGCGTATGTAACTTCTGACCTGGTCATTACCCTAAAAGCTAAAATATCCCTGAAGTTTGATTAGACTTCCACCCATTCTGAAAATCAGGCAAGGGTACCTTTCATATACAACTTAAAGGGATTTTTTTTAACAGATTAAAGATATAAGCTTATCTAGTTCTCATTTCTCCAGGCTGGAAGCTCAGGAGCATGGTACTGTATCTGAAGAGTGTTTATTTGCTTCACAGTAACGTGGCATAGGGCATCCCCTGGTGACTCACAGCTTGTGAATTGAGTGTCGTAGATTTCAAAAGAGGGCTGGAAAGATGGCACTCAGAGCCCCAATTCTATCCTTGTACCACATCTTACCTTTCTTTGGCTTCTGTTGACCCTCCAGGGAAAGATGATCAAGAGTCTTCAGGCTCAGTAGATAAGGGAATACCAACATCCCCAACAGTCCCCCACTAGAAATACTTCTGTGTGCTGGGGCATCATTGGCTCAGCTCCTGTGCTCCCCCTTAAAATCTAGGGGAGGGGTTATATTCTCCCATTTCCATTCTCCCTCTGCAATGATGTGCCAACAAGGAAATTAACCAAATATGTGTGAATATTCAGCAGATGAGAAGGGGACCTGTCTGAGGGATCAGAGCTAATTGCCCCTCAGTTTGCCACAAAGAACAGAAACATACTTTAAAAGCTCCTAATTGGTATTCTTCACAGGAGTTGAGAGAATATTGTATTTATGGCACAAAATAGGCAATAATGAAAACAGAGCTTTCTCAGATGAGGAAAGATTGCATGGAGATGAAAAACATGATCATCCAATTAAAACACCGAACAGAGACAATGAAGGGGGGTGGTAACACTGAAAAATGAAATCAGCTCATTATAGGACGCTCTCGAGGACGGCTTCACGTCTCAAACGTAAACGAAGAAGAGAATTCTTTTATATTAATGAAATGTTCAATCAATTCACAATAAAATTTGATGTGCCAAATAACATGACTACTAGAAATTATATATACATATATACATACATATGTATTACAGTATACATGTATATATATTTATATATACATACATACATATATACATATGTGTGTGTGTGTGTGTGTGTAGTACAGTCACTGCAGGAGTTTCTGTGAAAAAATTTAATAAAGCTCTGTGAGTCTCTGAAATATCACCCACTTTAAAGATAAACAAGGGCTTAGTGACTTGAATATGATGACAGAATAAACACAAAGAGAGACCAAGACAGACAGATACCTGTGTGTATATTTGCTTGCTTGCTTTGGAGCATCTCCAGGTGTGGCCCCCAAATTCTACATTCTCTTGCCTCAGCCCCCCATGTGCTGGGATGGCAGGTGATGTATACCCAGTCCGAAAAAGATTGTTCCTAAAGAAGCGCAGGAACAGGGCATGGTGGTTCAAGTTTCTGGGAACTGAGCAGGAAGAATGCCATGAGTTCAAGGACAGCCTGAGCTAGTCAGTGAGCTCCAGGCCAACATGAGCTACCTGATTGAGATCCCATCTCAGTCGATCAATCAACCAATCAACCCAATCAATCAATAAAATAAAATAAGGAAATTACCAGGAAAAAAACCTAACAGTAGTATTGTCAGCAAAATCAATTCTTCTTTTTAAAAGTGATTAATAAAATAAATCTAGCAGGACTGGCCACAAAAGGAAGTGATGAGGAAGGGGATATAAATATAGATGTGTCTGGATTATGGTGATAAGGAAGTAGGAACAACTGTGAGCCAGGAAATCAGAAAGCAAAAGCAATGGGACCAGGTGTTTGGTAGATTAGCAGATGCTAATGTGTGGGCCTGAGGAGATGGGCTCAGCAGCCAGGAGTCCCTGCTGATCTTCCACAGGACCCAAGCTGAGCTCCAAGCACACCTGACTTACAGCCATAACTGCTTGTACCTTGAGCTCCAAGAGATCCAGCACCCCCTTCTGGCCTCTGCTGGCACTGCACTTGCATGCACATACCCACACTAAAATACACATGACAGCCTAATTAGAGTACTTTTAAAAGCACTGATATTGGAAAGTGTTGGGTAGTAGTGGTGGTGGTGTACACCTTTGATATCAGTACTTGGGAGGCAGAGGCAGGCATATTTCTGTGAGTTTGAGGCCAGCCTGATCTACAGAGTGAGTCCAGATCAACCAGGGCTGCAGAGAGAAACATTCACTGTCTCAAAAAAAAAAAATACTGATACTAAGAAGGAGGTAGAGGAGGAGGAGGAGGAAGAAGAGAGAGAGAGAGAGAGAGAGAGAGAGAGAGAGAGAGAGAGAACAAATGAACCCAAATAAACCAGAAACTATT